CAGCTCTGTGTGCTGGGGAAGCCCAAAGGGTTCGTCTGCTGGTTTGTGCCTGGTGTCAGCGTGGTCCTGTAGGGCAGTAATGTGGGGTGTGTCGGGCTTCCAGGGGCCGGCAGGTATGTTTTGTTTTGCTGTTTGCTGGGACTGTGTTGCCCTGTGCAAATGCTGTGAGCTGAGTTTATTTTTGAGAAGCATTGAGGGTATTTTCAAATGAAGTTGACATGCTGTTACTGTGTCTTTTGAGATCTCTGGCTGCCACGACTCTTTCCCCTTCATAATGTGTCTGCCCCCCTCGCTCCACAAGTCATTTTTAAAATATGAAAAATTGATGTTGCATTAAAGCTGAAAATTGTATTGGCACCTGTTAGCTCCTGTTCTGTTACAAATTCTTTTGAGGTGTTGGGATGGGAGAAGGGGTCAAGGAGGATGGCACATGTTAACATTTCTGTTTCTCAGTTGAATTTTGTGGTTCTGAGTCAGGGGTGCACTATCAAGCGGCTAATTTTCTGATGCTCAGCAGAAGTCTTATGAGAATAGTTAGTCAGGTCTGGGTGTTCCTAAACTCTCACGTGCCCTTTGACATCTTCATCCTATCCTATACTTGTAGTAACATTTTCAAAGGTACATAAATGAGTTAGGAGCCAAAAGTCCTTTATGAAAGTGATTTAGGCACTTGGGGAACTCAGATTAATTGAAAGTCAGTGAATGTTAGGGTTTAAATTCCTTTGTGAAAATGGGCATTAGGGTCCAGAATAATTTAGGTGGCAATATTTACTACTAGTTTGGATGCAGATCAGATGTTCTCTCCTATCCCAGTCTGTAGTTAAAAAGCCCTGAGAGGAAGCATTAGAAATTTTTTCTATTTGCCAATGTTACGTTCCAAGGATATTCTTGTCTCCAGTATTTGCCTTCTGCTCTCCTCTGTTATGTAGGATGAATACTGTGGAAATGGATGCTGCTGCCCCAAGCAGCGGAAGTGCCAAGGTACAGAATTGTGGCCCCATAATTCCAATCTAAATAAATACAAGGGGAGTTTTGAATTTCTCAGTGTGTGGTGCCTTCTGACCAAATATATTCAGTGGGTTAAAATTCTGGGGAAAGATGTGTTGAAATTAATGTTACTACCCCATGCTGAGAACCATGTAAGGTAAGAGAACCATGTACTGTAGTAGTCTGAGAAGATGTCGTAAATCTACAAGCTTTCTCTTGGTGCTTTGTGGATCAGCGAAGGCTCCAGTAATGGCCTGTGAATCTCAACTGTGGCTGACAATTTTGGCTTTGCAGTCTGTAAATGAAAAGGCTCTAGGTTCCATAGTGACCCAGGAAGGGGATGCATTTTGTAACAGCAGTGAGTAGAGAATAACTTACCCTGTATGTTTCGCTTGTATGTTTTCAGGGAGCCATGGAAAACCTGGAAGATAATACAACTGTCTTCTCCACTTTGAGGTCTCTCAACAACTTCATCTCACAGCGCATGGAGGGGACATCTGGCTTGGCCACTTCTGAATCATCTCAAAATACCTTGCATATGCAGTATCAGCAGAGGATACAGGTGAGACATCCCTGGCTCACCGACAGCAATAAGTGTTTGTAGTGTCAGTGAGAGTTCATGTGATTCTAGGGCTGTACACTTGTTCATTTAGGTGATTGTGCCTGTTATCTATTTAACTTATTCTCCTAACAGTGTCAATAAAGGAGATATTTTTAAAGGTGCAGATTCCTAAGTCCTTAATTTTTTAATATGTTTGTTAGGGACATGATTCTTTATCTTGGTAAATATTCAAAGAGGTCCTTTGAGTTTCCTTCCTGTAGGTTATCTGCAGGCCAAATCGGGAAGGTAAATTGTGAGGTGGTTTCATCCCACTCCATCATAAGCTTAAATGGATAGTTTACAGGCAACTCCTGCTTAACGCTGTTTCGCTATAACACTCATTTTAAATTGATACCTGATTTTGCTTAGTGGTCAGCGAATTTCATTATAAAGCTCACAGTCGCTATCTTTGGGTCATTGAAAACAACTGTGGTCGCCATTTTGGGTCATCAGATACTTGTGGTTTCACTTAATGCTTGGTTTTTCAGGAACCAGTTAAGAGCGCTAAGCAGGGGTTGCCTATACATGGGAAGGGGGTAGCCACTTTTGCCACAACATCTGCAGAGAACCCAGTGGGAGTTAAGTAGCTACTTTGGTTTCATCTTTTTCCTTACACTGCTGACCAGTCTTGTTTCTCCCTTGTCTGTTTGTATCTTTATCTTATTAAATTGTGAGCTGGCTTTGGGCAGGGGCTTCCCTTTTGTTATGAATTTGTTATGTACAGTATGTAGCAAGGTGACCCAACTTACCTGGGGAACATTGCTGTTATTCACTCATTTTTCTAAGGCCTTAGTTGAGAATGCTGAACTCACTCCTTTGAGGACATTCATATGGACAAGAAGCATAGCCCAAGAAATGTTAATGTTTCATTTGCTAAATTACTCATGGAGAGTATGGTGATAGGCACTGTACAATGCCATATATATTAGACCATTGTCACTTAAAAATTTCTGATTTCCAGAGTTTGATGTGGTATTCTGGTTAAGTCTGAGTGTAAAGTATAGATGCATTGATCTTTATTTAACCCTCCATTACATTTCAAATTCCAGCTAATTTTCTGATTTCCTGATTCTTCTTTTAGTTGTGCATTGGTAGTTGCAGAAAATCTGTATCTCAGAGTTCTGATTGAACAGATGTTCAGTTTGAAGGTTTCCTACAGACACAATATTCTGTTACTCCCTTGCATGCTGTCCTGAAAGTAATTTTGCATGAAGCATGCTTTCATTGAAACAAAACCAAAGATTGTGCCAGGTACTTCCGGGTGCACTCCAACTTGCTACCTTGCTGAGCGCTTAGATATCTGATTCCTTAGCTACATGGTGCTTCTTCTTTGAGACAGCCAAGAGGATCTGTAGGTAACTTTGTTTTGTTTCAGAATATGATTGCTTGTTGCTGACTGTGTATTTTGTCTCTTCTTGCTTGTGAACCAATCAGCTGGAGGAACAAGCTGGGCAGATCCATTCAAAATCTCAGCTCCTGCAGGTGGAACGGGAGAAGATGCAGATGGAGCTTAGTCACAAACGAGCTCGTATTGAGCTAGAGAAAGCAGCTAACACGAATGCCAGGAACTATGAGGTGGGTAGGGCAGAGTCATCTGGTGTCTGATGGGTTGGGCTCTCATGAGAGCATCTTGTGAGCATCGCATGAGTGTTCCTGTGGCTCACAAATGGTTTGATGCATATCTGAGTGCTGTCTTCTGTAACTTTTTTTTTTTTTTTTAAGCACTCAATTGGTTATCAGCTCAGCATGTACAAAGAGAGGTTTGGGGCTGGAATGTTAAACCTCATTTCTCTCAGAAGTATTTGAACTTCTCTTGGCAGAATTGCAAACACTTAGCATGTTCAGCAGTAATGAATGGGAACGGCAACAGCACCAATCATGAAACTGTCACACAAGAGAGGCTACATTGGTAAGACAGTGAGTCCCTCTCAGACTAATAGGTTTTATTGCTCTCTGGTTTTATAACCATGCATCGTGCTTGCCTATGTTGCTGAAATAAGCAGCAGAGCTTGTGGGCTTTGTCATCTTACAGAGTTCTTCAATTTTTCTTCAGAAGTTAGCTACTTAAAAAGACATGCAGCAAAATGTTATGAGAAGGCAGATTTACTCTGCTGCTGTGAAGTGGTGGGTCACGGAGAAAATTCCTAGTTCCTCTCAAGTCAGGTGATTTTGGGATTAAGCCAAGAAGAGTTCAAACCAGAATCTAGCTGAGTCAGTCACAGAAACCTCAAAATACGAATACAAAAAGGGAGCAGCACTAATCCAGCATTCTGGTAATTGCCCTGCTCAGATTTTGTGTTCATGAGTCATGTGGATAAAGGCTTTAGGAACCTAGCCTTGCTTTGCATAATCCTTGCTTGGTATGTAAATCCGGTGCTCGATATGCTTTGATTAGCAGAGCAATTTGCTACACATTTTTCAATAAGTGTTAATCAATTTGAGTTATGAAACGGTGTGTGAAATGTTGGCAGAAAGCAAAAAAAAAAAAAAAAAAAAAAGAAA